GGTCCAAAATTCATCCTCCATCCATTTCATAACACACTTTACTCTCTCTTTAGGTCTCAACAAACAGTCCCATAATAATTTTCTTTTATTGATAGCCTTCATTGTCATCCTTGTATTCGATGATCTCGATAAAGAACTACAAACCAACACATAAATATATACTCCTTCCGTTTATAAAAGATTCACTATTTCCTTATCAATCTATTCCAAAAAAAGTATATTCCTATATTTTTTAATAGAAAGTATTTATAGTCACATAAATGTTATGGCTTGTTTAAGACCACAAGTTCAAATATTTTATAGTCACACAAATGTTATGACATATTTAACATTACAAGTTCCAAAACTTTTTCACTCTTTATTAAACTTTATGCCAAGTCAAATCAGAACAAATAAATTGAAACAAATGGAGTATATTGTACTATCACTTACCTACGAATTCTGTAAACCCAAGTCCTCTCATCGTATCTCAGTCAGAACGCTGAACGCTAGCATTGGAATTTTTTTATTTTTTTTATACGTGCCCATATTGGATAAAAGTGTTGCTTTAAGAGATAGTTTTTATAGACCGAGACAGTACGCAGTTTTTTTTTTTTTTTTAAATAATTATATACCTTCAGCCAGCTTGTTTACTTTGGTTATGTTGTTTACAAACACAAACGTTTCACTTAGACAAAGCTATAATATGATTGCCAAGCATGTAGGTACCCGTTACAAAGAAATAAATATACAGTTGTTAGGCTTAAATTCATTAGCCGAAAGAATAATGTATACCGTAGCACGGCCAGCTCTATGGTGAACAGTTGAAACAAGTAAGACACGTACTTTAGGCCCATAATTTGGGGACCCCCATTTTTTAACAATAATAGAATTTTAAGTTTTCTTTAAAAAATTATTGAGTACTTTTAATAAAAAAGTAAGCTTTAACATTTAAAAGGTAAAATATTCTTAGGTTTGTCAAATAATCGTTTGGCTTACATAAAATTTGAAAGTATGAATAGCCTCCTAACGTGTGAATTGGAATTAATTTGATGATAAGTGGCAAAAAGTACACGTTATTACAGTGTTTATGTCCTAAGTATTGTATGATTTGATAAAGATTGCTTGGTTATCGAATAAACTTATCCTCATTACGTGTTTTCTATATGTAGGTACTGTTTGACCCAAAAGATGTCAAAACCTTTTTGGTTAAAACAATTGATGATAATGAAGAAGTTAATCTTAGTCAAGCATAATAAACCGCAAATCTGAAAACGAATCGGAAATTAATGAATACAATGAAATAAGAGCGAACAATCTTCATTCATCCTTGTTATTTCTTCTTTCATGGGACCAAGGAGATCATCGATTTTACATCCTTTTTTTTTGGAAGGAAATAGAAGGAGAGAATACAGAGAGAGAAAACGAAAAAGCCTCCCCCCCTCCTTTTCTTTGGGAATTCATCCCATATATATAGTTCTGAGATCATGACTACCTTCTCCGATTGGTATGCCTTTACGATGTGGCCTTTTTATCGTTCCTTAAGTAATGTCTTTTGACTCTCTATATACTGTGAGTATTTAGATCGAAGTAGGTGTAGACATGTGATTTTTGACCCTCCCCAAAAAATTTCATATTTTAGCACGTAAATATTTAATTTAGACTTATTTTTGACCTAGCCCACAATTCCCAAGCCCATAACTCCTAGGCCCATACTCCTAACCTAATCCTTACCCCTATATAATAGTATCTAACACCTAAAATAAAACTACACCTAAAACCCTTCAAATTCGTTGCTTGTCTTAAAAAATAAGGAGAAAAATACAAAGATGGTTTAGAATCTAAGACCTAGGAGGAGCCGCAATTCACGACCCATCTGACTCCCATTTATCTACCTCATTAAAGACGAAAATCAATAGCCATGAAAAAAGGAGGAATCAGTGCCGCAGACTCTGGAAAAAATCAAAAAACAAACCCAGCAACCCCTCACCAGAGATACCAGGAAACCTGGCTTATATAACTAGGCAACCAGCCATCAAAACACCCCCCAAGATGAGCCCAAAACGAGCAAAAAACCTGTTGAAAATCAGCTGCAAAACTAGCTCGCAAACAGCCCCAAACTTCAGCTGAAAACAGCCTCAGCGCAGCCAAATCCTCTATAAAAACCAGTCTGAATATAGCTTCATCTCCTACTTAAAATACAACCATGAAAGCCGACACACGAGCAGCTACATCCACCATCATGGACGCCACTTAAAAACTCCAAAATCAGCGGCAAAAACAGTTTCCTTTTATGCACAAATTAGTAGCTCCAAAGTTGAGTCGTCGAGGTTGAGTTCGGGTTCTGTTCGTTGATTTTGGTCGAGGTTCCCGTTCAGTTGAAACTTTACCGTGTAAAGCATCTTGAAAGGTCCATCTTTTGCTGCTCTTCGGTGCTTTTTTTTAACGTTTATTGTGAAGCTTTTGTTGGTGATAAATGTGTTAAAATCTTCTTGTTGCTCAGTTGTTAAGCTCTTTTCTTTGATACTTGAATTTCAACACAGAAATAGTTTGTTTTTCCATGTTAGCTTTTGGTTTTACGTTGGTTTAATGTTCCATTTGCGTAGCCATGAAATTGCTGAGATGATTTGGTCGATCAAAATTAAAAGAGAACTTAGTGGGGTAAGGTGAAAAAGTAATGGATGTGGGTGCGTGTTCATTGATATTTAAGAGAGAACAAGAATGATGAATTTTAAATAAAGTGGACCATACTTTTTTGAGAGAATCTGTTGACTTTTGGTGAAATTAGAAAAAAATGATTTTTTGACACCAGTAACTTTAGTTGGCTAAAGTTTTTCGTGTGCTTCTTGGCATGAATATAATAGTTTTAAAAAACTAGTCCTTTTAATTATTATTTCTAGCTCCTTAGTTAATTTCAAGTTTCCTATTTAATTACCATCTCTTATGTTGAGTAGGATTTAATTTATGTAATAGTAGTAGTAGTAAGTAATTTTGACATCGTCAATTCAATTTAGTTGGTTATTAACAAGCTACTTAGTTGATTTCAATTCTAGAAAATTTGGATTATTATATAGTGATGGAATAATAATTTTGACTTTAGAATGGTATTACAATGTTAGGGACAATTGGGTAGTAAATTCATTGACCAATTTGGTCATTGGGGTAATTGTGATTAAATGGAATTAAGCCATGAAGTCCTGAACATAGTAACGAGAATTTGGAACTTGGATATTTTATTGCTCTCATTTAATGTTTTTATCACTTGATATACTCGTAATTTGCTTTAGGCTCGACTTATACTAGTATTGTGATTATGTACACGTTCGCGTAACATAATTGCGAATTTAATTCTAAAAAAGTAACTCGAGGGATGCGTTCGCGCAACTTAAACCGTACGTACGCGTAACTCAATTCTTTAATTACGAATAAATCAGGTGATTAAAAGAGGTAAAAGATAATTGCATATAGGTTTTAAAAATGAGTAGTTAAACAATTAAGCCAAATATAAATTGCTAAGCGACCGTGCTAGAACCACGAAATCCGGAAATGCCTAACACCTTCCCTCGGGTTAATAGAATTCCTTATCTAGAATTTCTGGTTCGCGGACTTTGTAAAAAAATAAAATTTCCTCGATTTGGGTTTTTAAAATAAATCGATGACTTGAGACAACAATTAAAATATTCTAAGTGGCGACTCTGAATTTGAAATAAATAATCCCATTTCGATTATGTCACTTTAATTGGATAAAACTCTCTTATATCCCTCACGGGTGTGTAAAAAGGAGGTGTGACAGCTCTGGCGACTATGCTGGGGATTAGAACCCAGAACTTCCGGTTCAGAGTTCAAGAATTCAAGCTTGTTAATGCGATTTTTATTTGGCTTTATTGTTGATATTACTGTATTTTGTGGACTTAATGTGCTAATTGTCATTTACCGCTTTAATATTACTTGAACTGTATTTAACTGTCTTCTCACGCACTCCCTCTGAGTCTTCTTGAAATTAAAAATTGGGCATTTGCTTGACATAGCCTGCTTTCTTTGAGATAGCCGAGGTGCTTGCCATACGGTGAAGGATTTTTAGTCACACATGTTTTAGGCGGGGAGCACTACCAGTTAAGCCGGAAAGTAATGCTACTGGTATGCTGACCCTCCTCGGCTCGAGTTATCCGCTCGAGTAAGCCAGTCTAGATACCTTCTCCACCGGGATTTAAACCTAAAAGAACAAACCTCATGCCGGATATCCCTAGTAGATTTGCTTTATGTGCATCCCGTGCATTTGACTTAGCGAAACTCGGCATAGGGGCCGGGTCCGTATGAGACATGTTTCCTCTTTGAGATCATCCTGATGCATCTTACGTGCTACTTGTGCATCTGTTTGTTTCGGCTTGCATGTTGACCGGCTTCTAGAATAGAGAAAGAAAAAAAATAAAAAATAAAAAAAGAAAATCATGAAGAAAAAAAAAAGTGAGAGGTAGGTATTTAGAAAAATTTGAAACTCTACCGAAATTCTGAAAAAAAAGTCATTTCAAAATGAGCCAAAATTTTCAAGTGTCATGTTTCCCTAGTTCCGTCAAAACTGACCGAACTACGTGGGTCTGATTCTCACCGGATGTGAGATACGTAGGCAAACCTCATCGGTTCCGACCAAAATTTTCAAAAATCCAAAAAATATTTTCCTTTAGTTCCTTTCTTTAGAAGTCTATCCTTAGAAAATTAAAAAAAAAAGAGGTTTTTGTTATACTCAAAAGAAAAAAAATAGTTTCCTTATTTTTGAAGTCTTTCATATGGACAAGGAAATAAAAAGAAAAATCAATAAAAATCAAAATCCAAAATACAGGTTTTCTCTAT